GCTGGGGCAGCGGCCCCAATAAAATGTAATGACCCCTTGCGCACTTTTCAGACCTGAGACAGTTTTCAGACCCAGAACCCACTGACTGAAGGAAGGCTGGGTCCCCAGGACCTTGTGACCTGGAGCAAATGTGTAGTAATGGTTTCCCACAGCCTTCCCCCAAAGAACCGGTGACACTTATTTGGATAACTGTACCCTAGGAGAGGTGGAATGTGCAAACACTTGTAGGACCATTGGACATGGGGTCTGAGTTCACAGGATCCGTGGACATTCAAAGTGTTATCACATGTCCCTCTTAGAGTGGAGACGTGGTGGAGGCCAGGTAACAAGTGGAGTCCTGGTCCTGTCGGGCTCAAAACAGGTCCACTAGGTGTGTGGGCACTTCTCTGATCCTCAAATGTATAACTGGAATATAGAGACTTGATATTTGACAGAGCCCCCACATTAATTTGTGACCTGTGACCTATCACAGTGGGGAAGGTCATGAATAAACCTGTAAATCAGGAATTTCCTGGAGTTCAGCATCTGACCTACAGGGAACCAGTGTTTTGACATGGAGATTATATGAATGTGGAATGGTGAAATCCTATGAGAGTTTTTCACTCGTTTTGTTTGCACAGCTCCATTCCCGTTATAAGACCCTGAGGCTTTCTGTACCTGGGCTAACTGGTCAAAGTCATACTGTTACAGAGAGTGGGCCCTTCTTGGCGCGATGTCTAGGCTTGTTTTCCACTTCAGGGGTCAAACCCAGCGGTGTCCGGGCTGTTCCTGCACCCAGCGTAGAACCCAGGCCTCGAGGAAAACTGGGAATCCTAGCGGCTACATTGCCAGAGGGTGGGACCTCCTCTGCATGGTGTCCAGGTTCTTGGCATGTCAAGCAAAGAACTGAACAAGATACAGAGGTAAGGTAGTAAAAGAGAAGTTTATTAGAAGAGAAAGTACACTCCAAAGGGTTAGGAGCAGGCCCAAGCGACAGCATGGCCAAGGCTGTAGCTCACAGGCTCAAAGGGCAAAGGGCCAAGGGGCCCTGACTGGTGAGGACTTGGAGTTTTTTTCCCTTTTTTCTCTAGAATGAGCTGTTCCTCTCTGGTGTGGAACCACTTGATCGACACCTGTGATTAACAACAGGCTGTTACCTCATCTCTTTATTTTTTTAAATTAATTAATTCTTAATTCTTTTTTTTTTTTTGGCTGAGCCATCCTGCCACCTGTTGGCAGCTCAGCGGCAGCTCAGCTCGGGCCGTGAATGGAACCAGTGACCCTGTTGCTCAGAGCTCGCACTCTTGAGCGAGCTCTTAACCAACTGAGCCACTCGGCCGGCCTTACCTCATCTCTTTAGACTGTGCATGTTCCTTCCCAGAATCGAGTCTGTTATAATGATACTAATGAACTTCCAGGCATATGTGTAATATTATAATGATGGTATAATGAGGCCCAGGTGAAATGAAGGTCGTTGTGGCCTTTCCTGTGCAGGTGTGAGTGACTGGTTTAGCCCAGCAATAGTTCAGGGTCAGTAAACTGCGGCTGGTGAGCCACATGTGGCTCTTTGGGTACGTTCCGTCTCAAAAGTTTGCCGACCCCTGGAAGAGCCAATCCTGTCCCTCACAACAATGTAAAATTTATTCGAGAGCCATAACTATATTTTTACATAATCACCATTATGTGAATATCCTTTAAAAGTTTCATAAATGAAACTGTGATAGTTTTATTTTCATTTTCAGTTTTACTTCAGAGCCACATGTACGTACTCAAAGAGCCGCATGTGGCTCGCAAGCCACAGTTTGCCGACCCCTGGCGGCTCTTCCATCTCAAAAGTTTTTCCACCCCTGGTCTAGTTGGGTATTTTGTACCCATTTGTTTCCTCATAGGGGTAGATAATTACAGTGAGGTGAAGCTTTGGGCGGAGAGGGGAAGTCTTTTGGGCGGTCACAGCCTGTGGGTTGTGTTGGACGTACAGGAATGCAGAGACCCAATGCCTGCCTCTAACTGCCTGCCTTATTTTTTCCTTGAGAGACGTGATCCCCATAAAATCTCAATGGGAAATGAGGGACAGGAGGTCTTTTCTTCTGTATCTGCTTCCTGCTGGGCAGGCGTGTCGAACTGTCCCTACCTATTGGGGGATTCATGGAACTCTCACCCTATCTGATCTTAGAGGAGAGGAAGGGGTCTCAAGATCCTCCTGGAAGACAGTGTTGGCTTCTTTGATTGGGATTGGTAATCTTACTGGGGCACCATCTGTATCCCCAAGGCCCCTGAATGAGGAAAAATAGATTTTAATTCATAAATTTAAAAGTGTTGGCTTAAAGAGCAGAGCTCAAAGCTATTGATGCAGGGTGGCTACGTGATAGAAAATCCATCAGCTCTTATGTGGCCATTCAGCCGGTCACTCAAGTGGCGTCAGTTGTCCAGGAGCTGGGCCCACAACGAGTTGGAAAGAACATTAGGCTTCAATGATTACAATCAACAAGTATAAATCACAAATTTCAGGATAATTTTCTAAAGCAGGGGGTAGGAGATTTATATGATTCAGGTTAAAAACAATCTATTGTTTATGATTAAGAAACTGATTTATAAAATAATTAAGAAGCGGGGGGATAGGAGCTAAAAAAACTGGGAAAAAGGAATCTTTAAAGAAAAGGAAACTTTAAATCCCTATAAGAAAGAAAACTAAGTTTTTCAGTGGGGAGAGGGGGCTACTGACTTAACTGGTATCAGTACTAGTGAGACTGGGAAAATAAAGAACTCAGTGAAATTAAAGAAAAAACAAAGGTAGATAAAACAGATACAAGGAAAATGAATGAAAGCATAGTGGGAAATAGATGTCTCAATTTAATACTCTCTCATGTCATACTTTGTTTGGAACTGAAGCCCTACCACGCATGTCTACCTCCACATGTAATTTTTTTAAATCAGTGTTAATTTTTAAATGGAAGGATAATTAGCATCCATCAAAATAACAGTATGTGTATTAATAAGTTGCTAAAGTTAACATTACATTACTAAAAAATTGATTTTTTTAGAAAATGTGTAAACCTCCAAAGTGCCCTCCAGCGAGATAGTAAGTCAAAACAATCTATATTCCCAGAGTGGTAAAAATGGACGCTGTCCTTGAAAGGCCTGAAGAACGCATCAAAGCTTCATTTAATTGTCGGTCTAGTTTCTGTGAAAACAAGATGGATCCTGGAGGACAACCTACAGCAAACACAATCACGTGATAGCCCCAACTGCAGACATGGTGTCTTTTTATTTACTTATTTTTTTGGTGGTAAAATCACATAAAGTTTCCCATCTTAACCATTGTTAAGTGTGCAGTTCAGTGGCATTAAGTACCTTCACATTCTTGTACAACCATCGATACCACCCATCTCCAGAATGCTTTTTATCTTGCAAAACTGGAACTCTGTACCCGTGGAACACTAACTCCCTCCCAGCCCCTGGCACCGCCATCCTCAGATGTGAGGCCTTTGCTGGAGCAGATTCACCTGGTGTCAGGTATACAGGATGAGGCTATTGACTCACACAGTGAATCAGAACCCCTGGGGGGGACCTGGAAACCTGCATTTCACGAGCTTCCCAGATAGGTGCGAAAGGAAAAAGAAATTGCCGTAAATGATGACAATGTTTGTGTAAATGTATATCTTCTCACAGATAGCCCGCAGTGAAGGGATGAAGGAAATGGAAGGCATTTATTTATCTTGTCATTCCAGCAGGTCCAGAGTCCATTCAGGGTAGAAGTGGGTTTGCCACGAGGCTTGGGGCTGCTCACAGAGCAAGGACATGAGGAGTAGGATGTTCTAGGAGCAGAGGGGAGGCCAGGATTGCCATCAGGAGGCATTTCTGTGGAAGTGCGTCGGGTAAATTGCTTTAAAAGAACCCAAAAGGATGGGACGTCAGTCTGCAAGCCCCACTGGTTTGATGTGACTTATATTTTCGTTCTGAACAAGTATTCATTTTCATACTAAGTCATATTTTTATATTAGTTTTCTTACAGAGGGCCTCAAAATGTAGTCCCCACACAACCAGCATCTGCCTCTGGTTTCTGGGGTCTACAATGGTTCTTTGTACTTTGAGGACTTTGCCCTGTGATCCCTGAGGTTTTTAACATACTGAACACCAAAACAGGTGGCTCTCAGGCCCACCAGCCACAACAGAACCAGCCGTGAGCATATATTCAGCTTGGAACCTCCCTCCTTCACCCCCAAGGCCAGGGAACCCCTCATTCACAAGTAGGGGGTCAGGTGAGCAGACACCATCCCTGCTCCCTGCTGCCCCCTAGTGGATCTCAGGTGACAAGACCCCATGTGTACACAAGGGGCGTGCCCTGTAGTGTGGTTCACACGCTCCTGAAACCATTCAAAATTTTATTATAGCTGCTTTAAGCGCCTGGGGCTTTGCTAGGGCCTCTCAAAAACCCATAGCGAAACTAGTTGCTCACTGGGAACCCTCAGTAGGTGGCTGACTTCTCCCCCACATCGCATGCCCGGGCAGCTCTCAGGGAGGCTACCTGGCCACACAGGGACACACACACACTCAGCACCCCAGAGGCCCGGCCACAGTGGTAAGGGGCCCAGACAAGTAAAGCCAAAAAAACAAAAAAAAACAAAAAAACTGGGTGGGTTGTTCTTCTCTGGAACAGCTAGCGCAACCTGGCATGTTTTTAAAAAATAAATATGGAGGTGGCCGGTTAGCTCAGGTGGTTAGAGCGCAGTGCTCATAAAACCAAGGTTGCTGGTTCGATCCCCACATGGGCCACTGAGATGCGCCCTCCACAACTAGATTGAAACAATTACTTGACTTGGAGCTAATGGGTCCTGGATAAACACACTGTTCCCCAATTAAAAAACAAAAACAAAAAGTAAATATGGCCTTGATGTTTGGAGCAGGACGTGGCTGCATATACTGGGGAAGGCCCCCTCTAGCCCGCCGCCATCTCCAGAGTGGTCCCCCCAGAGCACAGTGGGGAGGGTCCTGCAGAGCCACAGGTTTTCCTGCCCGCAAGCTGTTCATTCTGCTGCTGTTGCAGATAAACCAGTGGGAGACTCAGCTGCAGAGCCCGGGCTTCACAGGCGGAGCAGAGCAGTTAGGAAATGTCTATTAGAGGAGGCGTCCTAAGCAACCCGCTCTTTATCATCGATCATCAAAGAGATTTGACTTCTCCGTATTAACTGTTGCCAGGGGAACGGGTGGGACCTGGCCCCGGCCTGAGTCTCCCAGACAGCTCAGTACTCTGGTTGTCCTTGGGTCACTGGATCATTTCACCCACGGGTTTGAGGGACATGGGGTCCCTTTCTCCAACCAAGCGTGATAACCAGACAGAGTCAGAGGCAGTCGTGGGACCGTTGCAGAAAGGGTATCGCAAGAACTGGCCACTAGGCACAATGTGGGCCTTGTTAAGGACCATGAGATGTCCCTCTGAGTGAGGCAGCCTCCCTCCCACAAGGAAAAAGCCTGCACTGCCCTGCTCACCTTTCGCCATCAGACAGTGTTCTGGGAATACCGGGGGAGCTGCCAGGAGGAGGTGTCTGTAGGTGCCCTGTGGAGGAGGATGTTGGCATCCCGATTTCACAAGCCCAGCCCCAAGTACCAGCTGAGACCTTCTGGGCAGCTCTTGCACATCCCTGCTGGGAAGCTGGCTTCTCGCCTCAGGCCCAGAACCTCACCCGTCTGGGCCTGTCTCAGCTTCCTGCCAGGGCCCAGCTGACGGTGAGGCTCAGGTGCCCCAGAATGCCTGACCCTGTGAGTCACTGACCTATCTACACACACCCTCCCTGCCTGCTTGCATTATAGCTTGGTTGGGGTCAGGTCAATGAGAGTCATAGAGCCAGGGACCTCAGAAGCAAGAAGTGGCAGATATGGCCGAGGAGCCTCTGAATGGTCTATTCTTACAGAGTTGAAACCTATTTTGAAAGTTCTTATTTATAGGGTCAAGGAGCCAGCCCAATGAATGCCAGATGTGCAGTCCTTGATTCAATGAGGAAACTCCAACTCACATGCGGGCGTGGGCTTATGGGTTACCTGCCCCTCCTTCTCTCCTCGCTCCTGGCAGCTCAGCAGAGCAGTCACCAGCCTTCAAGTATTCTCAGGAACAGGCAAAAGTGAGCAGAAACTGCCTTTACTGATCTCCAAACCCTCCCCCACTTTGGTCCTCCCAGGAGCGCAGGCCCCGGTGGAGCAGATATTCAAAATGATATTAGCAGCCTGGGAGGTGCGAGTTGAGGCAAAGCCTAGACTGTCGAGGGCTTAGTACATCATGGTCTGGTCACATCACCCATTCATTAGCCCACTGTATTTCCTGAGCACTCATTGCATGGATACACAGAGTGCCTTGGCTACACAGAGGTGCACTCAGCCCCAGCCTGCCCTCCAGCAGCTTACAGTCCTGCCAGCTGGCCCAGAGAGGGGGTAGACAGGACACCTTGGTGGGGGCTCATTCATCCTGTTGTTAAGTCTTAACAGTGACTTATTCGGTAACACCCACTGTTTCCCCATATGCTGCCATCAAAATCAGTGCCAAGGTCATCATGGGTTTAGTGCCCTCCACCTCCACCAGCTCTGTCCTCTTGTCGCTAGTGCCCTGGTCCCTCACACAGGCTGTTGGACTAGACACTGGGAAGATGACTCCCACTCTCCGAAGAATGCCCAGCGAATCCCCATGAAATGGTGGGAACACGACTGACAGGGGTGCTCCACCTTCTCTGGGGCATCCACTACTGGGATCCCCTTTCTGAGTCTTCACAGGCTCTCCTGGCTTCCAAGGGGAAGAAAGAAATGTCTTAAGAACAATTCGCTTCCAGTAACTTATCCCAAAGAGTAGCAGGGAGCAGTTTGCGACAAAACGAGGAAAGGTGTTTCCTGGTCCTGAACCTGCTGTCATCCTTTGAATTTCTGCTGCTCCGTGACATGGGCCCTGCTCACCTCACATTGGCACTGTCTCTGTGTGGGCCTCCTTGAGGTCACAGGGCAACCTCATTCTTGTCCCACCCTTTCCTCAAACCTGTTAAATTAATGCTTGGGGAAATAAATCCTCCCCAAGACCACCTAGCAAAGGCCCCGCCTTCAGTGACACGGGAGTCCTGGCTGCATCCAGTCCCTTTGATTGGAGACTTCAGGCAGGAGAGCTCAGGAGTGGAAGTGATGGCTCCCCGGCCTGCAGAGCCCCAGGTCATTGCTTCTGTGTGCCCAGAGGTTCCCAAGCAAAGCTGGCGAGGAGGCAGGCCCAGGAAGGGCTGGGAGGGCAGTGACCATCAGAGCAGATGGCTGGCAGCACTTGGCTCAGGTGAGCTCCTGGCTCAGCCCTTGGGTTGGTGCCAGCACTGGGGCAGGTGTGTTGGCTGTGGCCAGCCCAGTCCTAGAGCCACTTCTGCAACGGGGATGGGGGCTTCATCCTCCCCTGCAGCCACCTGCCCCTTCTTCTCCAGCCCAGATACCTCCAAGTTGGGGGTGAGGCAAGGCCTCTCCCCTTATGTCCTCAGCTGAGTCCCGCTGGCCTTCCAATCAGCCACAAAGATCACAAACACCAGACTCTGGCCTGGCTGTGGGCTGCTGGGCTGATCCCTCGCGGTGTGAGCCACCAAGAGCTTCCTCAGTCTGCCCAGCCTCCGGGTGCCTCGCAGTCAGCAGGGTCGGTGGACCAGCCAGGGGGCTACCAGGGCCGCCAGAGGCCAGGGTCGCAGGGTGGTGCAGGCGGCGAAGGCACGGGGGCGGGAGGCGGGGAAGGCGAGGGCGCGCCGCAGGAGTCCCGAGCAGGCCCGCCGTCAGGGGTGGCGCCGGCTGCCCTCCGCCGCAGGTGCTCCAGCAAGCGAGAGCTGACGGCGGGATCCAGGACGCGGCAGGCGGGCACCACGCGGATCAGGCGCGCCAGGCAGGCTCGGTAGCCCTCACGGTAGCTGTCGGAGGGCGCTGTGGATGGAAAGGCGCGTAAGGCGCAGGGTGAGGCGTGGGGTGCGGGGAGCAGGGCTGGGGCCGGGCGGGGTCACTCACTGGGCGCTGTCCCCGGGCAGGAGGACGCAGGCAGCTCCTGCAGGAAGCGCACGGTCATTTCCAGGATGTCAGCCTTCTCCAGCTTCGAGTAGCGGGAACTCTGCTCCCGGCCCAGGAGAAATGGACAATCAAGACCTACCTCCCGCAGGTTGCCTGAGTACCGCGCCCTTACCAGGAGCTGGGTGCCAGGTGCGCCGTGGCCGGGGGTGGGTTGGCTGCTCCCAGCCAGCCCCACCCGGACTCAGCCTTGGGCGCCGCGCGGAGCCCCCTTGCGGGTTCCTGGGGCAGAGGCCCGTCGGCCCGCCTGCACTTCGCCCCCCGCGACCTCAGCCACACACACACACACACACACACACACACACACACACACACACACACACCCAGGGCCGCGGCACTCACCTCCCTGCCGAGCAGCGGCAGGATGAGCCCCTTGAGTTGCCTCAGGCTCTCGTTGATGCGCGCGCGGCGGCGCTTCTCCAGCAGCGGCTTCAGGCTCTGTGGGCGGGCGTGGGGGCCGCGGTCAAGCGGGTCGCAAGCCAGGCCCCTGCTGGGGCGCCCCGCCCCGAGGCCCCAGTCCCCAGCTCCTACCTTACGCAGCTCCGCCGGGTCCCCGGCCCTCCGAGGCAGCCCCATGCTCGACGGGGAACCGGCGCTGCTGCGGGCTCTGCGGGCGGGAGGCCTGCTTCTGCCCGGACGCGGAGCCGAGACTGGCACCCAGAGGGAGGTCGGGCGAGCGCGCTGCCGGAGACCGCGCTAGTGGGGAGCGCGCCGCGCCCGCAGCCCGACTTTAAGGAGACGGTGTCGCCAGCCCCGCCCCGCCCCGCCCCGCCCCGCAGAGTCAGGCAGCCTGCGGGTCCCACCTCCCGCCTTTGTTCCGGAGCGGGGTGGGGATGGTAGGGGGCACCGCAGAGCCCCAGGGATCTCGCCCCAGGCCTTCGTGTCCCATCTGCGGCGGGGTCGCGGCCCCGGGCGCCCCTCGAGCACTTGCAGGGGTGTGTGTGGGCGCCGTCGCAGCCATCTCTGCTCTGACCCGGCGGGCAGGAGAGGTCCGGGCGCGGCCAGGCGGCACCTCGCTCAGGCTGCGGTTCTTCCTTGTCCAGCGCCGCCCTTCTTCATTCATTCGGGCTCAGCACTTCCTCGGAACCCCGCCCTAGACTCAGGCCGGGGACCCGGGGGCGGCAAGGTTCCCAAGGCCCAGGACTCAAGGGGCTCCCTCGCGGGTGTCTACTACCGGGAGGGACTCGCACTGCCAGTTGCTCTGGGGCAGAGGGTCTGAGCAGAAAGGGGAAACCAAGGCCCACGGAGACGTCTTAACTTGCTTAGGCGGTGGCCGCTGGGAACGGGCTACGGCTGGACTAGGCCCTGCTCGCTGGACTGCTTGGCCAGAGCTCTGGGACCCCATAGAATCTCCCGGCAGCTCTTCTAGTTAGGGGTCATCTGGTTCCCCAGCCTAGGTTTTGAATGGGGAAACTGAGGCTCAGATAAACCAGGCAACTCAGGAGCCCTCGGAGCTCATTTTCATTTCAACCGGCTCCAGCTTCGGTTCCCACCCGCGGGACAAGCGGGGCGGTCCTGAGTGCGGGCTCACCGCTGCCCGCCTTGGCCCCAGCGGCCGCCGGGCCCGCCTCCTCGCCGCGTGGCGGTTGCTGCAGCAAACTGGCTGGGCGTCCCCCCGCCCATCTGCTCAGGGCCATCCTCCCCCAACCGGCTGGCGGGGCAACGGCCACCCGGGCGGACCGCAGTATGGACTGCCTGGCCCGCCCACTTGCGGATGGGGGGGGGGCGACCCACCCAGAGAGGCCTGGAGGACGCACCGTGGGGCGGAGCCAAGAAGGCGCTGTTCAGGGTGCTGAGCGTGGCCCACCCCGGCAACTCGCCCCAAGTCCTCCTGCCGCGCGTGCTTCCCCAGCGGGGCCCGAAAAGGCTAGCCTGCCGTGAAGAAGGGGCTCCGAGCAGCTTGGGCGAGAGGGAGCTGGGGCCACCCGTACCAGTCTGGCACGCAAAGGGCCAACTGGCCACCATTTATGGAGCACGTTCTGTGTGCCAAACACAGGGCCCGGTGCTTTTTGGTTTTACCTCCATTAACCCCCATAACAGTCCTAATTATGAGACTAGATCATTCAATACATTTGGGCTAGCAGGGTCTGGGAGTTCTGAGCTTCTGTCTCCCTTGTGTCTTTGAACCCAGGGTAACTATGGGCCAGCCCCCTCCAAGGTAATTAATTATTTTTTAAGGGTTCAGAGAAAAACTTTGTGGATCACTTGCTGATGTCCCACTAGTCACCCCACCCCAGCCACACACACCGGCTCACTCCGTTCTGTGCCCACAAGCCCACCCTGCACCAACATTTGCATCCTTGCTGAGAGTCCCTCACGGGCTCCTGGGGGAAGGCACTGGGGAGGAAGGTTCCTCCCAGAACACCCTCTTCCATGCCTGTAAACCACCATCTAAAGACTTGAGGAGAGGGGAACAAACTCCCTTGTCAGTGCCAGTTTTTTAAAATTCTAGATTTTAAAAATTCTCTTCTCCATTCTCCTGCTGCTGTGAAGGACTGACCCAGTAACCCACCATTTCTTTCAACGGAAGGATGGGGGGAGGAGAGGGGCGGTGTGCTGATTACATGAAGGAGTCACTTATAACCTGGGGAACTTAGGCAAAACAAGTGAGTGGGCAGGGTGTGGGGGTTCAGGCTTTAGGGAAGTTGGGGCACCTAGGGGACAGTGGGGGGGACACTCCACTCTTGGTCCTTGCCCTTGGGTGGGGGGAGAAGTCTGAACAGGCATTTTCTACATAACTGGCAGATGGCCTGAGCCCAGCAGAGGGATGGGAGGGGGGAGAGACCCTAAGCTAACTTCTGGAGGGTAGGAGGCAGTGAGGGTGCAAAGAGAGGGAAATCAGGCGCAGAGGAACGGGCACTGCGGCGTCAGACAGCGTGCGTTTTGCCCTTTCCCATTTGTGCCACATCATGCAAGATACATTGAAAAACAAAACCAAAAAATACCTGCCAGTGCCTCAGTTTCCCCAGCTTTAAAATTGGAATAGTGGTTCTGCCTGTGTCATAGTATTATTGTGCGGATTAAATATGCCTGGTAAGCCGTAGAACTTCCATAAATGTGTTCTTGATAGTATGGGCTCCCTAAGGCTGCTGGGGAGGACCTGGTGGACCCCGTGGAGCTCAGAGAGGACCGAAGAGGCCTGGATCTCAGTCTGAGTCTGAACGGTGTCCTCAAAGGAGCCTGAGAAGCGGATCAGCAAGGATGGTTGTTCACACGTGACTGTTATGGAGATGTCCTATCAGCCGGGGGAAGGGCTCAAAGACCTCATGCTTTCTAACACCATAGCAGCAACCGTGTGGCTCCCAAAATGACAAAACCATGTGATAGGTGAAGGTGTCCAGGGCCAGCGGAGCCACCTTGGGAGTGTAGGACATGAATTGCAGGACATGATTTTAGTCATGGAAAAGGCACAGGGGAGGGGCGCCCAAGACAAGCCATTTCACCTCTTTGTTTCTGCAGCACCCCTGCCACTTGCAGGATGCACCTGCCGCTGGGTGGGATAGAGAAGGGCAGCTCCAGTGGGCATCAAGAGCCAGCCAAAGTACTAAGGTTGCCAAGGTAAGACTCCTCCCGCCCCTTGTCCACACACCACGAGGTAGGGGTCCCAGACCTCAGTGGCCACAGGTCCCATGGAGGGAACAAGGCTGGTCTGGCCGGGTAGAAGTCGCTGGAAACCTACCCTAACACGCAGACACAGCAGCTCTCGTTTACGGGTGATTTGGAGCTCAGAAGGCCATCACGCATGGCGCCACCAGGTGGCAGCCCCGGGAGTGGTATCCGTGGCAGCCATGGAGTCCCACACTAGGATTCCCACTGTTCCTGGAAGCAGCTTCGCTCTGCAACATTTCAGGGCTGTCCTGTGTGGGCCAGCTAGGCACTGGGTGAAACAGCCCAGGGCCAGTCCTTCTTGGAGCTCCAGTGAGGGGGTAGGAGGGTAGGAGATAGCAAAGGAAGGGCACAGACTGTTTCAAGGTCGCAGGATGTGTTGATTGGCCTCCCACAGCTACACAGCCCCCACCTTCTGGCAGCTCTCCCTCATGTCCAGCCCACTGTGCCTCCCTCCAGCTCCCAGGAAGGGCTTCCCACCATGCAGGCAGGGTGGTTTGGTCCATGTGTGCTCTCCTGGCCTGCTGCCCTCCCAGGGCCTTTCTTTGTCCTCTGGGAGGGGTCCCCCCCTCTCCTGGTGACTGCTCTGGGGCATCTCCCCACTCACCTCCTTGTTTTTCCTTCTCTCCATTTGGCAGCCCCAGGCCCTCAAGTTCACAGTTAACTCCTCCCACTTCAGACAGCAGCTCTGAGTGCTTCCTGTCATCCCCTCTGGATTCAGAAATCTGAGCTCCCCAGGCATTCCCTTCCTTCCCTCCTTCCCGCCCTCCCTCCCTGCTGGAGGCTCTGAGGGCAGTTCTTGGGGTCTGGAGGGCCTCAGGAGGTCTGAGAGCCTAGCACCTGTTGTGCCCATTGGGGCCTAGACCCAGGGCCCCTGGGGACTTGTTAGGCCTGCTCCTGCCGGCCCCCTGCCTGGGACGCCACTTCTTACCACTCAAAATACAGCCCAGGGCACCTCCTCAGATGAACCATGCCCTGACCACTCTCATAGCTTCTTCTTTTTTATTTTTTTAGATTTATTCTTTAATTGGGGAATCGGGGAAGGAGACAAGNACATTTTTATAATTTTCCCCAGGGAGCACGAAGATACCCATCCTTCTTGCCTCCAGGCTGACGTAGAAGAGGGTAACAGGGCTGGGACCCCCTTTCCCACCCTGGCCTATCAGCGTATCTGTCCTGTGTTCTGGGGTCTCCCAGGCTGGAGCTATGACTCCAGAATGGGGGTCATGAATGCCGAGGCTGAAATACTAATACTAATGGTGATAAGCGCCAACATTTATTGAGGACTTCCCCTGTACTAATGACTCCAGCTGGGAGTGCCAGCCAGTGGCCAGGCAGGAGGCTATAGGCACAACCGCCCCCTTCTGCCTGGGTCCTGCTCTGTGACAGCTTCTCAGACTTTCTCAGGCTGGCTGAGCACCCTGGGTCATGGATACCTGCCAAGCAGGAGGTGCTGGGAGGGCAGGGCTCCTGGTAGGTCTGGCGCCCGGACCTGTGTACATTGCTTTGGGCATCCCCAGAGATAGCCCAATGGGCCCTGGGTGCTGGCCCCCTCCAGCCTCCAGCCTCCAATCCCCAGGACCCCAGCACTCGTTGTGCCTTGGTTACGGGGTGAATAATTCAGGCCACTGAGTGTCGGTCATGAAATATTGAACAGGCTGTTACTGACGCACCAGTATGTGAATGTGTGTGTGGGGGGGTGACGCTGGCACTGGGGCGTGGAGGCCGGTGGCCCTGAGCCAGTGTTTTCCTGAGGAGAGGAGGGTGCACAGGTCTTTGCCTCCATGTGCAACGCCGGCTCATGGGCACCACTCTGATCTTGCCACGGATGGGGTAACGGAGGGCATCCAGGCGTGATCCCTGTTCCTGCCCAAATGTGTGAAGTGCCAGGCTCAGCATTAGCCCCAGCAAATGGCAGCTCTGTGTCTGGGGAGGGGCTGCCCACATCAGGAGGAAGGACAGCCTGGACTGGGTGCTCCGTGGGGGCCTGGGGTCAGGGGTCAGGGAAGTGGACAGGGGCCAGGATTTTAGGGACAGGGAGAAGTCATCTGGGAGGTTGAGGGGTGAGAGGGAGGGGACAAGTCATGTCGGAGGTGACAAAATGGTGAGTGAGTGGGTAGATAGAGGAGTAGTGGGTGGCCTGGTGCTCGTTTTAATAGCTGGGCTGGCAATTGGATGAGGGAGCGAGGAGGGAATGGATGGAGCATGGGATTGATGAAGTGAGTGGATAGATGGCGGAGGCAGATGGGTGACAGGGTGTGAAGTCGCGTGAAGAATCGTACTTCCTGGGGCACAGAGGCTGATCCAACACAGGACATAGCCCCTATGCTGCGCTTAGAATCACTGGGGCAGGTGGTGGGCAGCTCCTGGGTCTGAGCCTAGATTGTGGCTCCACCTAGTGCCCGACTCTGGTAACTGCTCCCTGGGCTGTCCACACCCATTGTGAAGTCAGAAAAACTGAGGCTCAGCCATTGGCCAGGCCAGCTTTCCTATTTCCCAGCAGCACGCCACCTCATGGTTCCCAGTTCCTCAGTTAGGACCCTTCTGTGGGAGCTGGGGAACAGGAATGAGGGGCAGTGACAGCTCCACACTGGGCCCTAGGGAAGCCCCAAGGAGTGAAGGGATAGACTGCCCTCTCTTCACTCTCTGTGTGCCTACTGTGTGCCAGGTGCTGTATCACACAGACAGATGTGCACTCACCTGCCACTTGCCAGCTGTGTGACTTTAGGCGTGTCGCAGCCCCTGAGCCTCAGCTGCCCCTCTGCAAATGGGAATGACAGTAGGACTGAAGGGCATTCAGAGCGAGCCTGCCTGCTAATATCATAGCACGAGGTAGTGCTCAGTAAGTGGTGGCCACGTGCTGGGTTGCCAAATTAACAACAGCAACTAGGGCAGCCAATTGAATTTTAACTTCAGGTAAACAACAATAAGCAAGATACACTAAAATCATGCTTTAGTGTATCTTATGCAATATTTGGGATAGACTTACGCTTTTAAAATGATTTGTTGTTTATCTGATTTTCAGGTTGAACTGGGCATCCTGTGTTTTGTTTGGCAACCCTACCACTCTGTCCCCTGGAAACTCAGCCTTCTGGGGGAGGCAGGGGCCAAAATTAGTAATGGTCAACCAGGCATGACAGGTCAACAGGTCCGTGGAGTGGGCCCAGGGCAGTATGGGGCACAGAAGCNTTCCTGTCCAGCTGCCCCGGCCTTTGAGAATGCAAGAGAGAACCCCGGACCGGCCACAATCTCCCTGCTCACTGATAGGGAAGGCCGCTTCCTTACAGTGGCCCAGAGGCCCTCGATCTGGTCCCCCTACCTCACCTCCAGCTGCTCCCCCATCACCTACTCTGCCCCATCTGCCTTGCTGCTCCTCCAACAGCCAGCGCCCCCTGGCTTTCGCACTGGCTGTTCCCTCCACCTGGAAGGCTTCCCAAGAGAGCCCCTCCCTCCTTCAAGCCCTTGCTCCATCTCCCCTTCTCAGTAAGTCCTGCCCTGAGCCCCCTTCAGATTGTAACGTGCCCCACAGCACACACACTCACTCCCCGTCTTCCTGCCTTATTTTCCCCAGCACCCTTATATAACCTGGCATTACATTCTCTGCGTCTCTGTGCATTCTCTTACCGTCTGTCTCCCTAATGACAGCAGACCTCGTCTTCCCCATCCTGTATGCCCAGTGCCTGACACATAGTAAATATTTGTTGAATGAATGAGGCATCTGGAATCCTGGGTCTTGTATAGCGCTGCCTGCAGCTCACTGCCTGTGACCTCAAACAGCACTCCCTTCCCAGCCTCCCTGTATGTAGCAGCTGAGGCCAGGTGTGAGGAGGTGTCACCGCGCTCCTGGCCTGGTTACCCGTCTGCCTCCCACATTTATTCATTCAACAAGTAGCAACTGAGCACACCCTGGGTGTCCCCAGCCCCGTCAGCACCAGGGATGTAGCAAGCCCTCATAGCCTCGTGGAGCTGACGTCCAGGGGACGACCAAGGAGACAGAGTGGGGACATGTGCCACATTAAGAGAAGTTCTTGCTTATTTGCTCACGTCATGTGTTGGTTTGCCACCTGGCAACCCTAATGGAACTGAGCTCTGAGAGAGCCGGCTCTGCCCGTCCTGGCATTTGGCAGCCTCGTGATGTGTATGCCCTTGGAATGAATGAAAATTGCACAAGACAATTCAAGAGTGACAAGTGCTATAATGTGGCATAGGGTCGTTCGGTAGGAAGTGATGAGGGTGTTCTTTAGCTTGAGGGGTTCAAGGAAGGCCTGTCTGAGGAGCTGAGAGCTGAATAAGGGATCTTACTTGCAAAGATCTGGTGTGGGAGCATGGCGCCTAGAAGAGCTGTTCTAGAACCTTCCTCAAATCAGGAAGCATTTTTTTCCTGAATGTGGGATCTTTTCACGTAAGCCAGGAGGTGATTGGAGGACAAGAGAGGGAGAGCTGCCGAAGGCTGAGTGACCTTCTGTTCAGAGCAGCCCTACCCAACAATGAGATCTAATCCTTTTGGATATCGGGCCCGTTTCTGTCCTCCCTTGGTGCAGAAATGATTGGCAGTGGGAAGAGGAGGGGCAGGGGCCACTGGAAACGCTGTTGGCCCTGAGTCTGGTTTTGTAGGCAGATCACTCCTTGTTCCTTGTGGCAACAGTAACCATAAGCTGGCACCAGTCTTAGACAGATTTCCAACAAACCCTTTCTAGAATTCCATGTTTCTTTTGTGTCATCAGAGGGTGACTTGCTTAATAGTTACAGTTTGTCCATGTCATCTTTTTTCGCAAGGGGAAAAAAAAAATCATGATTTATGTGATCATTGCTAGGGAGCCTCAGATTTACAAAGGGGTAGGTCAAGGGTCAAGGGTCTCCAAAGACTCCTAGAGCTTGGGCTCCAGGAGACGGGTGGCTGGTGTCCTTGACTGAAATCGGGACAGCGAGATGCGGGGAGGGTTTGAGGGAGAAANAAGGGGTTCCCTGGTTTGGTTAGTGGGAGACCAGCAGGTGTGTTCCCCACCTGCCCCCCAGCCAGCGGTTCTCTTCACAGCCATCCCTGCCAGGGTTCACTTGGTGCCACTTCCCTGTGAATTCTCTGCTGTTGGGTAAGTGAGGGTTTGGTTCAAGTCAAAGTGGGCGGTATTTAGAGTAGGAGAGCCCCAGAGACCCTCGAGAACAGGCTCCCAACCTAGTACCCAGCAGCACCCATGGGGGCTTTGGTCCCAGACTCCCAAGTGAGACTCTGGGGTTGGGGCTGGGCAGCAGCACCTGTGACATGCCCCCACCCCCACCGTGGTGACTCTGATGCTTCTGTCCCACCCCCTCGATTAACACAGAGGGCCTGAGAGGGGATGGATGGGCTGTGGTCACCCTCCTGCACCTGCCAGCCTCCCTCGTCACACACAATGGGCCCCAAAAAGCCGGGCTGGTGGTGATGCCAACTTAGCCCAAACAGTGTGAACTGAGGGGGCTCCAAGACCACCCCTGGAAATGCTGATGAGGAACTGGAGTTGGAGGGGTAGGAGGGAACCCCCGGTTGGTCCCTGAGCCCCTCCTCAGGGAGAAGCCTGGGGCCTAGATGAGCCAAGGGCCCCCTATGGGCTGCGACCCCAGCCTTAGGAAGAGTCTGGCTTTGGGGACCCTAACTCCCAGGTGCTAGCTGTGATTGGGCCTAGTGTTGACTCTGTGGCCAGATGGCCTGGGCTGATAAGCCACCACCCCCTCCCAGAGGCGGCCATGAATCTCAGGGAGGTGGACAGCAGGTTCGTTCCTGCAGTGGAGTGTGACCTGGCTGATAAGGGGCCGCTTTTGTGCGGTTGCCAGGCTGGGCTCAGGCAGGAGAGGTGCCTGGGAATTGGGGTGAGGCCTGCTGGCAGGGGAGGTAGAAACCCACGTCCACTTAGCCTTCTATTTCGGGGGTGGAGACTCCTGCTCCCCAAGGCTGGATACCCCAGGGCAGGGAGCTGGAGAGGGTAAGCTCTGGGCTTCCCGACGCTGCAGGGCACAATCCGAGGCCGAGGCAGCCTGGCTCCAGAGCCTGCAGCTCCCCATCACCCCTGCTCTCGTGAGCCTTCCGGGCCTGCTGTGAAGCCTGTGAATTATTCACAAGGGNTCTGGGGGCTCCGCACGCCAGCGCCTGGGTGGCTCTCTAAATCAAACCCCGTTAGTCCGCCCTCTGGAGTTTCCATCTTGACGCAAGATTAAGTTAGGAGAAAAGTTCCTGCGCGCACCTCCCTCTGTCGCCAGAGTCCGCCTCGGCGCGGCCATCCAGCGCCCAGGGCGGTGCGCCGGGCGGGCTGGGCGGGACGGAGGCGGTGCGGGGGGCGGGCCCGAGGCTTAAACCAGGAGCCCTGGGGGCCTGGATCCAGAGCGCGGAGGAGGCGGAGCGGAGCCGGCGAGCAGTGCGTAGTCGAGACCCGGCCAGCAGCCGCTCCGCCTCCCAGCCGGCAGGGCCCCGACGGCCGCGCCGCGGACTCTCCCTGTGCCCGAAGACAGGTGCATGGCGCCCCGGGAAGCGCTCTGAGAGCGGGGCTCGGCGCCGCGGGCGGCACGATGGCCCTCGAACAGGCGCTGCAAGCGGCGCGACAGGGCGAGCTGGACGTGCTGAAGTCCCTGCACTCCGCTGGCCTGCTGGGGCCCTCGCTGCGCGACCCGCTGGACGCGCTGCCGGTGCACCATGCGGCCCGCGCCGGCAAGCTGCACTGTCTGCGCTTCCTGGTGGAGGAGGCCGCCCTGCCAGCCGCGGCCCGTGCGCGGAATGGCGCCACGCCGGCCCACGACGCCGCCGCCACCGGCCACCTCTCCTGCCTGCAGTGGCTGCTCTCGCAGGGCGGCTGCAGAGTGCAGGTGGGTCTGAGCTGCTCTCTGGCCCCCCTGGGGTTTCCTCCCCAGGAGAGTTCTGTCCGGGAACATCCCTGTCCCGCTGTGGCTCAAGGGTGGATGGGGTTGGACACCTCCCAACTGAGCCTGCTTTGGAGCTCCTTCCAAAGGGCTCCTGAGTTGAGAGTGGTGGAGTAGAAGAGCCCTGGTCACTGCCTAGAAGAGCACCCAGGTGATGGGGAAGCAGAGGAGAACGGGGTTCACCTGGGCTAGTATTTAATATGTGGGTGGGGAGGCAAAGCGCTGAGTTCTGGAGAGTAGGCCTGGGCACTAAGGGCCTGCACATAGAATCAGAAGCGCATGTCCTCCAGGCTCAGGTCTGGGGGGTGGGGAGGTGGGCAAAGCCCTGCAGCCCACTCCAGGCTGAGGTGCAGGTGTCCCTAAAGGCAGGTGTGGGGGGGAGGGGTGGTGGGCCTGGTAAATGGAAGCCTCCCCAGGACCTGAGCCGACTCCCAGATGTCAGCCCCTTCTGGCCTCTGGGCGCCAAGTCGCTTCTCCAGCCCAACCTGAATCTTCCTGACCTGAGACCCCCACCTGGTCTCACTTAGTGGCCTCCAGGCTGGTGTAAGTCTGCCCCCCCAGAGGTGGAAGAGGAGGCAGCTCAGGCCCTGATGTGCAGCAGTCCTGCTGGAAACAGAGCAGAGCACCCAACAGGTATTAGGCCTGGGGACTCAGGGGTTTCCCTGTCCTCCTGGAGCTGCTAGTCCATTAGGGCAACAGGCAGCAAACCCACAGGCCAGAAAGTAAAGCAGGTACCATTAGGTACTGCTGGGCCATGCTATGGGGAGTGTCAGGGAGCTGCTTGGATGAAGAGGCCAGGGAAGGCCTCTCTGAAAGGGGAGTCCTGGCTGATGAGAGTGAAGTGGCTCAGTGACGATTAGATATTTCAAGCACAAGGAACAAGACAGGCAAAGCCCCAAGGCACACACATTCTTGTCCTGGTGCAGAGGCAGCAAGGAGGTGTTTGAAGTGGGTGAGGGTGGGAGAAGTCACCAGGCCCAGGTCCTAGAGGGCCTCATAGGCTGGAGGTAGGAATTTAGAAGATATTCTGGTTGTTGGGGAAAGCCAGTGGAGGGAGGAACCAGACTGATTTTCTACTTAGCAAGACCACTGGGTTCACTGGATGTGGAAGAGGCAGGGGCGACTGAGCCCACTGGCTATGCCTGAAGGATGCCAGATCCCCGCCCCCTCTTTTGCCCTCAGGATGGCAAGGCCTCCCTTCCACCCTTCCTGGGAGATGTCCCAGCCCCTTATCTCCTGGCTGGCTCTGTTATCAGAGTTCCTGGCACATGGTCCATGCCCACTCTTTTGGGAGGTGGCGTGCCTCCCTGATCCTGGTGTCCAGCCTTGGCTGGGAGCCTCTGTAGCCACTGCAGAGGAAGTGGAGGAGCAGGTGGCCTTGTGCCCAGCTTATCAAGTCTTCCGCCCTCAAGCCCAGCAGGCTTGGATGCTGGGGTGGAAGTGTGTGTGTGTGTGGGGGGGTGACCTCGATCCTGCCCTTGCTGAGCCTGGAGAGATAAGCAGATTTAGGGTGCAGGCCACAGCATGTGAGGCTCCCAGGGTCTACATAGCTGTTGGAGCCTCAGGGACAGGCCAGAGCCCACAGGTCTGAGGCCCTCTTACTGCCATCCCCACCCAGAGGCCAGAGCCAGCAGGACCCCCTGGAGCTTCAGGACGCCCCCCAGGCCCCAAGGCCAGTGGGAATTGAGGGCCTTTCTCGAGAGCTGGGCTCAGGGCATACTTCACCATGGTCCTGTCGGGGGCACGTCTAGCCAGCCCTGTCCCGTGGGTGTTCCAGCACACAGAGGGGTCTCAGTGTGGTCCTCAGCTTCCTGAGCTGCTGGCGTCCTGCCTCACTCTGCCTGACTCTGCGCTCCCTGCCTCCTTCTGACAGCCAGTCTGCTTGCCACCTGCCCCCTGACATGGCTCACCAGCTGTGTCCTGGGCCCTGTACCCTCTGTCTACCCTTTTCTTCTGCTTTTCTCACAGGAGCCTCAGAGGCTCTCCTCCAGTTGCCTCAGCCACACCTGTCCCCCAGCGCCCTCCCTGGGCAGAGGGGCTTTACTTCCGATTCTAGTAAACCATGCCCACCTCTCACTACTGCCCCCGCCCTTCCCTGTGCCCCTGCCCAGCTCCCCGCCCACCTTCGACATCCCAGGTGCTTGGCACTGGGGGCTCATTCCGTTCTGGAACCCATGCCCACTCTCCCAAACTCATCATCCAGCCTTTGAGTCCCAACTTCTGGTTTCTGGGTGATTCTCCTCTTTGCCCAAGTCACATAAGCGGCACCCACCAACCCCCTCCCACAGCAGACAAATACACCTGGGTGTTCATGGATGACACAGTCAGCTCTTCTGGGCCAGAGTGTCACCCTGCTCCCTCTGGGGTGCCTGGGAGGGGGAGGTCTTGCTCAAGCCCCTTCCAGGGACTGCCTCTAGCCCATACCTACCAGCATTGGCTGGCTGCCCAGGCCCTGCCCACTGCCTCCACAGAGCAAGAACACAGNGGGGGGCGGGCGCTGAGAGCCTCGATGGGTGCTTCCTGTCCGCAGGGGAGTGAATGCCCAAACCAAGAACGGTGCCACGCCCCTGTACCTGGCCTGCCAGGAGGGCCACCTGGAGGTGACGCAGTATCTGGTGCAGGAGTGCGGGGCCGACCCGCACATAAGCGCCCACGACGGCATGACCCCGCTGCACGCCGCGGCACAGATGGGCCACAGCCCGGTCATCGTGTGGCTGGTGAGCTCGGAGACAGGAAAGGACGGGGCTCAGGAGGGGACAGGGCCTGCACGGGACGGGGGCGGGACTAGGAGGGGCCTGGCGCCCAGCCCCATTTCCTTCTTTCCCTCGCCCCCTCCTGCCCAGGTGAGCTGCACTGACGTGAGCCTGTCGGAGCAGGACAAGGACGGCGCCACGGCCATGCACTTTGCGGCGAGCCGCGGCCACGCCAAAGTGCTCAGCTGGCTCCTGCTACACGGCGGCGAGATTTCGGCTGACCTCTGGGGCGGGACCCCGCTGCATGACGCCGCGGAGAACGGAGAGCTAGAGGTGAGGGCGGGGCTGGGGGCGGGGCCGGACCGGGGGCGGGGCCAGGGCCGGGCCATGGGCGGGAAGGGCGAGCGCCCTCTGCTGGCGCCACTCTCTCAGCAGAGCCGGGCCCTGGCCCCGGGGTCTGGGCCAGCGGCCCAGGGTCCCGGCTAACGGCCAGGAATGCTCACTGCATGCCCCCGCAGTGCTGCCAGATCCTGGTAGTGAATGGCGCGGAGCTGGACGTCCGCGACCGCGATGGGTACACGGCCGCTGACCTCTCGGACTACAATGGCCACAGCCACTGCACCCGCTACCTGCGCACCGTGGAGAACCTGGTACCACCTGGGCTCTGCTCCCCGGGTTATCTCACTCCCTGCCCCACCCCAACCTCCCTACACTGGTATGTGTTGTTACCCCTTTTACCACGGAGGAAGCTGAGATTCAAGGATGTGAACCCCCTTACCTGAGGTCACAAAGAGTAAGGGGGGCCTGAGACCATTATGCCACATGACCTCTCAGCTCAGACCGCTCACCAGTGAGGAGTGGGGAGTGGAGGCAAAAAGGCCAAGGGTAGGAGGACCAGCGTCATCCTGATAAGGAGAAATCACAAGACGTACTAATGGGGACAGCCCAGGTCATTTAGCTGACCACAGTCCCCATGGATAATTCATTTAATTCTCACCACCACCCTCTGGAGTGGGTACTGTTAGTGTCCCCATTTCACAGATGGGCAAACTGAGTCTCGGGGCAACCCCCAAGGTCACACAGCTATTAAATGATGGAGCCCAGCAGCCTGGCCTGGAGCCATTTCTCTCGACCACGACACTATATGTTCACTTGTCGCTACTTCATAACTAGAAACCTGTGTTACTGTTTTTAAACGATTTTATTATGATTGCTCAGCCATGAAGTAACCCACTGGGACTTGAGCTCAGGCGTGGGTGGCTCTCAGGGCTCTGCCTCGTCTTGTGCAATGCCTGCTTTGGTGCAACACGGAGGGCCCCCCGGGGGCCTTCAGAAGGGCAGTGAGAGGTGCTGCACAATGAGGCCTAGAGAGGAGAAGGCGGGCTGGCCCCCTGCCCTATCTGGGAGCACATGGGGGCACCCTGGTTCTGGGGACTCCAGAGCATAGCAAGGCCCAAGGGTCAGAGAGTGTACCTGGACCTGAGGAGGAATTTCCCCCAGAAAGGGCCACCCAGAGAGAGTAGTGGCCCAACACAGGTAGTGAGCTCCCTGTCACCAGGGTATATAAGCAGGGCTTATATAAGAAATGCCTGTGAAGGGCATTTCTGCGCCAGAGGTGAATTCCTTCCAGCTGTGAGAGTCTGTGATTCTGTTGCGGGGGGTGGGGGTGGCACAGAGCCCCAGTTCCCCCCTTTCCACCACCCCCCCATCCCCTCCTGACAGTAGCTGTTGGCAATAAGAAACAAGCACCATCCCTTGAACTCTTGACTCTGGCAGGTACCCTGCCTAGTGCTTTATGGTGTAATCTCAGTTCATCTTCACAGTAAATTAATACTAATAGCTGACACGTATGGAGTTTATCGTACCCTGGCACTTCACTAACTTTTAAAATCTTTTTCATAACCTAACGGGGCAGGCAGCACTGTTATGCCATTTATAGATGAAGGAACTCAGATACAGAAAGGATAAGTGACTTGCCCAAGGTCACGTAGCTATTAAGTCAGGGAAGTGAAATTTGAACTCGTTGTCCCATGCCACAGAGCCCATGTCCCTAACCTCTGTTGTCCATGTGGTCAGGCCTGGCGCTCCCAGTTCCCACTGCTCTCGGCCAAGAAAAGAACATTTTCAGCTGCCCCTCCTCCAATCCCAGCTCCTACGGCTCCCCTTGGCTCATGGGGTGGGTAGTAGGGCTGGTATCCTTGAACTGGGTGGGGTGTGGGGGCACTGGCTCCCTCACCCCGGCGAGCCCAGCAGCAGCAGTGACAGATCCTAGCCACAGAGAATGCTGGCCCAGAAAAGGCAAACAGTCCCACAGAGCCCCTAATTACAGGCCAATGAGCATGGCCGCCGAGCTGTTACCTGGTGCCAGGCCTGCTTCCCACTCCCGGGGGGCCTGTGACACTTCTTGGTCAGGGAGGGGGCATGAGGCAGGGAGGAGCAGGCCTGGGCAGAAGCAGCGAGCGAGCAGGCTTGCCGGCAGCAGAGCCAGCATGGGCAACGTAAGCAGGGCCCCCACCCCAGCCCGCTCCCATGCCAGGAGGGTCAAGCTTGTGGGCAGGGGCACTGTCAGTGGTGGGGGATGGCTGGCTTGGCAGTCTCAGCTCTGACTGCCCACCTAGTTCAGCTGGGCCACCCCAGGCCTTACCCTTTCCCCAAGGGCCCCATCAAAACACAGGGACTGGGCTGGTGTTGGGATTGGGTAACAGGGGTTGCTAGCCAGGAAATGGGGGATGTCTTTCCTGCAAGTTGTGGGGACCCTGCATCCCTCCCCTGCCCCCAGCTGCTTCAAGTGTTCTCACCAGCTGCAGAGCCGAGTCCCCTCCCCACTGATACACTGGAGCTGAGGGCCTCTGCCCATCAATGAGGAAGGACTAGGCTGCTGCCATGCAGTTCTCCCCTTGGGGTCCAGCCAAGGGCCCTGTCTTCCCTCAGTCTCTCAACCCTCCTGAGCAGAGAGGGGCCAGGGATAGGAATTTCCCAGGAACCCATGATCCTACTGCTGGGGGCTGGGCTTAAATCTCAGCCTGGGAAGAGCCTGAAAGACCCACTCGTGATGAGGGAGGGAGCCCAGAAAGGACAGTGGCTTGGCCGAGGTCACACAGCGAGGGCATGCCTGAGCAGGACAGCCTAGAGTGTGCTGGTCTTCGGGTCTGGTTATCCTCAGCGCCTCCCCTCCTTCTGCTCAGAGCGTGGAGCACCGCGTGCTGTCCCGGGACCCATCCGCTGAACTGGAGACCAAGCAGCCTGACTCAGGCATGTCCTCGCCCAATACCACCATGTCGGTCCAGCCGCTTAACTTTGACCTCAGCTCACCCACCAGCACCCTCTCCAACTACGACTCCTGCTCCTCCAGCCAGTCCAGTATCAAGGGTCGGCACCCCCCATGTGGTGAGTGGGCCAGGTGGGAAGAGGGAGGAGGAAGAACAGACTGGAGCCAGACCACTGGGCCCTAAGGGCCAGCCCCAGGCTTACTCTGCACATAGCTGACACTAGAGACTGCCCAGGGCACCAGGAAGGGACCCTGGGTCTGGTGAGAGGCAGGTGACACTCATGCTTGTGTGTGCCCATCACAGACATAGTACATGTACATCCACACGTATTCTCCCCCTGACAAAACCCACACGCACCCTGCACACGATTCAATATCCTCACTCATACATGCACAGACTGTCCCCCAGACCTTACACATGCCTCACCACACTCAAGAGTGCACACTTGTACACACAATATACATATATGAATGCACAACTACACATACAAAGCTGTGCAGATGTATGCACGTGCCTACACTACACACAGGCACGCACGTGCGCACGCGCGCACACACACACACACACACACACACCTCAAGTGCACAAATACAAACACATTCATAAATACAAAGAAGCACGGGTACACACGAACATACACGAATGCACAAACGCTCAGGCAGAAGCCGGGCCTGCGTGCACACACACCACACCCAGAGCATGGGTGTCTGTCCACTTGCGATGTCTGCTTCGTGCCACCAGGTGGTGGCCTACAGAGATGGCAGGGTACCCTGCAAAGATTGGGTGTGGCCATCCATACTCCTGCCATCTGCCCTGTCAGATCTGCAAGGAGGAGCCCCTCTGCCTTCCAGGTGACCCTGCTCTGCAGGCAAGCCCTGGAGCCCAAAGCCCCCTGGTACTTCCCCTCCAAACTGGAGCCTGTGGTCTTTCCCCAACAAGTGCAGGGCTGGGTAAGGGCAGGGCCAGGGCAAGGGTGGGGCCATACCAGGCTGCGCTGCGCCCGAGCCCGCCTCGCCCCTTGGCAAGTTGTTTACAGGCAGTAGAGGGTCTCAGTCCTGGGGGACAGCGTCTCGGCAAGCTTGCAAACCCAGCCTTCCCTCCCTTCCCAGGGCTTCCCAGCGCCACAGCTGCAGACATCCAGAGCTACATGGACATGCTGAGCCCAGAGCTGAGCCTGGCCCAAGGCAAGCTGGAGAAAACCACGCAGCCACCACCGCCACCCAGATTCCCTCCACCACCCCCACCCCCGGGCACCCAGCTNGGTAACAAGCACAGTGGTGCTGGGCTAGAAGCTAGGACAATGACAAGGGTGCCAAGGCCTGAAAGCCTATTTTGTGCAAGCGCTTCACCGTCACGAGCTGCAGTTCTCAGAAAGCCCACCATGCATGGCATGGCGGTGCTGCTTACGGACTGAGGTTCATAAAAGCAGAGCAGTTCGGGGCCCGAGGACAGAACTGCCCCAGTGGCTGGTGTGATGCAGGAAGTGGCCTGAGCCAGAGACAAGACTTTAGGACTAACACGCTCTCCTTCCACAGGACAAAGACAATTCTGGTGCCACAGTCCTGCATCTGGCTGCCCGCTTCGGCCACCCCGAGGTGGTAGACTGGCTGCTGCGTCACGGCGGTGGGGATCCCACCATGGCCACAGACACGGGCGCCCTGCCCGTCCACTATGCTGCCGCCAAAGGAGACTTCCCCTCCCTGAGGCTTCTCATCAGGCACCATCCTGAGTAAGGACACCCCTCCCTGGGGTCTTCTGGGTGCGGCGGGCCAGGACGCTAGGGATGCCTGAAGTTTGCCATGCCCCTCCAGCATTCCAGGGGGGGGTGACCATTTCTGTGGCCAGAGGGCATGCCAGAGACAGCTCCTAGCCAAGCTGAGATTTCTCCCCTCCTGGCAGGCTGCCCACGGCCACTCGCCCCAGAGCCCTGCAAGCAGACACTCCCCAGCACGCAGCTGCACCTGGGAGGCTGGGCACACAGGCCAAGATCACTGCTCCCCGCCAGGATGCTTACCCGCCTGCAGCAAGTGGCTCCCTCTAGCTCTGGCCTGCGCTAATTTGCAAGGCTATTCTAAATGGGGGGTGAGAGATGGGAGCATCTCTAGGCCCCTAGTCAAGAAGGTGGTAGAGGAGGAGCCATGACAATCATCCGACAGCGAAGGGCGAGGACTGCCCCCCGACCCACACCCCACCTCCAGCCCCACGGCCCCCTTACCAGGAGCAGCTGATCTCCTGTGGCCCCTCAGCCCATCCCCACAACCAAGGCAGGTGCGGCTCCCAGACCTCTGGGGGCCCTTGGCCTGGCTGGTCTGAAAGCAGCTCCGCAGGGTGGGGTGGGGCCATGTGGAAGAATGGGGCTTAATGCAGAGCAGGGGAGTCATGGGGGGCCCTGGGGGAGGGAGGGAGCCAGGTCTTAGGTACAGCTGGGGGAAGACAAGAGTCCTGGGGAAAAGCCACCCAGACCCTGTCTGGGTGGGACACCAGTGGCACCAGGGACCCGATAGATAGGGGCTCTGACCAGTGACCTTTGTCGGTCTNCCCCGGGCACCCAGCTGCCCCCGCCCCCGCCCGGCTACCCAGCTCCCAAGCCCCCTGTGGGGCTTCACGCAGCTGACATCTACATGCAGACCAAGAGCAAACTCCGCCATGTGGAGACTCCGGCATCCAAGAAGGAGGTAGTGAGCCCCCACCAGACCTGGGATGATGGGGGGCTGTAGAAGCCAAGGACTACCTGGCTCATGGGCCACGGGGCTGGGGGGGTCCCTGGGCCAGCGGCCTGTTCAAGACTCTATATTCCCGGCCAGCCCCAAGGGGGCTCAAGGCTAGGCACTGGGGACAGGGAGATGAGTAAGATAAAGCCACTGCCCTCTGGGGAACTGGGGGGCAGGGGGAGAGGAAGGGAAATATACCCAGACAGCTGTGCCTCTCGGGGAGCTGGGTCCTTGCCATCTCTTGCACAGAGTGGAAGGGTAGTCATGGAGTCAGAAGAGGCTACGTGCAAACTGCTTGTCCACAGACCTACACATGCCTGCGGGCCCTGGGCTCAGGTGGAGAATGTCTCCCAAAGGGAGGTGTCTTCCGGGTGGGAGATGCAAGAGGTGTGGCTTGAAGGCTAGAGCCAGGAGGAGGGTGGAGGCGAGGCAGGAGAGCATGAGGCAGGACTTGGCACTCAGTCAGCGCGGAGGGAGGGGTGAAGCAGAGGCTAACTCCCCAGTTTGGGGCTTGAGGTCCTAGGTGGATGGAAGGGCCAAGCCTGAGGTGGGAGCCCTGGGGAAGAAGGAAGCATGTGAGAAGGAGTCCAGTGTGGGCATGTTGAGTGTAATGTGCCCAGATGGCAAGTCCTCTCGGATCCTGTCTGAAGCTCTGGAGCAGGGGCAGGGGCAGAGGGTGGATCTGAACAGCTCTGAGAGTCCTGGGCAGGGAGGCCCAGAGGGGGCCCTAGGGTACTGGCCAACAGGACAGAGCAAGGCTGGTCTGAGAGGTGGGGGGTAGCCTGAGTATGGTATTTGAATATGGGGTGGAGGCCTCCAGGGGTCCTGTGTGGCCCTAACCTTGTAGTTCTCTCTCAAGCCCAAGGCAAGCCACTCCAGGGCCAAGCTGAGTAACCAATTCGCACAGGTGACCCAGGTCACAAGGCCACCAGGCAGAGGAGGGGAGAGACATAGCCTGCACAGTGACTCCACCTGCACCCTTTCATGCCATCTCAGACCAAGCTCTCAGTCGGGTTCCCTTTCATCTCCACAAGGTGGGGGCCCAGGAGAGCCCTTCGGGAGCCCGAGGCCCCATTGACTACTCCACCAAGCTTGTGGGCCCTGCCCAAAGCCGCAGCACAGGTGGCCAACCTATGCCCCCACCTCTCCTCTGAGCCACAGCACCAGAACTTCGGGTCCCCATGCCCCTCCCGGGTGTGTGCGTGCCAGGCCGCAGGCTTCGGACCGCCCCACAAAGGGCCCTTTGTGTGCCCGCAGTGCCCCCAGCCCCCTGGCCGGGTTGCCTGACCGCCACTGGAGCAGGGTCGTGGCGTCTGCGCCTCAGGGCTGCAGGGGGCGCCGAGGGGGCGGGCTGGCCCAGAAAACAAATCCTGCGGTGTCCCGTTTCCTGCAATGTGAGCCGGGTCAGGTGGGGCGCGGAGGGTCCGGGGCCACCGCGGGGTCGAATGGGCTGGAGGGTGGGGCGGGGGACAGCCCCCGCCGCGTAACTCGGCCTTTGGCCCCGCCACCTCCTGCACTCCTCTCCCAGGCTGGGCTTAGCTGGGGGCGGGGGTGGGGAGTGTGTGTGGGGGGGACAGCTGCAACGGGGCGGGCGCTACGCTGTCACCCGAGCCGCCTTGCCGCCCCTGAAACCCGAGGCTTGGGCCCGGGTGTCGGTGTCGCTTACGCGCATGGCGACGGTTTCCAGATGCGGGAAGGGAAGGGCAGGGGCGTGACCCGGAACCCAGGGGGGCCAGAAACTGGGGAGCTTCACCGCTCGCGGTCGAACCCACATTCTGTCGCTGCGGATGGAGGGGTGTGGAGATGGGATGAAGGCCCCGGCGCTCAGCACCCAGCGGGGGACGAGAGGCGCCGGGGGCGGGGCCACATCTGGCCGGAGGGGTAGGCGCGGCGCAGCTACCAGGTGTGACAGGGCAGCCGGTGCCCCTGTGGCATCCCCCAGTGCCGAGGGTGGGGTGTGTGTGTGGGGGGGGGTCGTTCAGCCCAGGATTGGCGGGCCTGGGTGATGTCAGGCCGACAGAGCTCATAGGCGCTCAAAGGCGCGGGCGGGCACGGGCTGGGCTGTAACCTGAGAGGAAGGATCAGGTAGCGCAGGTGTCGGGTCCATGCCGCCCCCGCCACCAGGTGCACAGCGGGGGCCACCGGCACAGGCACAGGTAGGCGCAGTCCCAGCCCCGGGCTGAGAGCACTGGGCAAAGCAGGAGCCTCACAGGACACGGGCTCTCGAGAGGGCTCCCTCGGGGCCGGGATCCCTGCGAGAGGAGGGTTCGGCGGAGACTTGGGGACCGGCGGGACGGTGTGGCAGCCGGGACTGGGGTGCAGCTGAAACTAGCGCTGGCTAAGCTGGGAGCTGCCCCTTCTCCGGCTCCCCCTGGCGTCTGGGCTGGGCCACCCCGCCCCTGGGCCCGCCCCTTCTAGACTCAGTGGGGGCCTCTGCGCCCCTTGGCCGGTGCCCAGAACCTCTCCGTGTAGGGCCAACCGAGCCTGCCTTTCCGCCGAAGCCCCCATGACCCTCGCCCCATCCCCGCTCTGAAAACAGGAGGGTCTAGGAACACGGCTAGCTGCACCCTTCAACGGCCGCTGGCCGCGATCCCCCCGCCCCGGGAAGGTGAAGAGCTGGGAGTGGGGCGGCGTGGGAGGCACAAGGGACAAGAACCTGAAACCCACTCCCCCGCTGTCTTCCTGCAGCTGAGCTCCCACGACGGCCACAACGGGCTGCGGAGACAGGACTCTAGCCGCAAGCCCCGCGCCTTCAGCAAGCAGCCCAGCACGGGGGACTACTACCGCCAGCTGGGCCGCTGTCCGGGGGAGCCGCTGGCCGCTCGCCCGGGCATGGCGCACAGTGAGGAGGTGCGTGCCCGCCAGCCCGCACCCATCGGCCGCCCTGGACCCGGCCGGGCCTCCTGCTTCTCACTCGCTGGCTCCTCCGCTCCCCCGCAGGCGGCGCTGCTCCCCGGGAACCACGTGCACAACGGCTGCACCGCGGACCCTAAGGCATCCAGGGAGCTGCCCCCACCGCCCCCGCCGCCGCCTCCCTTGCCCGAGGGCCTGAGCTCGCCGCCTCCTGCTCCGCCTTTGCCCTTCGAGGGCGCCGGCCCTGGCTGCGGGCAGCGTCGCTCCTCCTCCTCCACTGGCAGTGAGTAGGGCGCGAGGGGTGGGGGGCGGCACTAGCCCCAAAGTGGGAGGGAAACCTAGACAACGCCCCCTCCCCAGCTGCGACTGCCCAAGTGCTTCCTCTTTTCCTACTGTTCTTGGAGCCCCTCCCCCAGTGAGGACTTGACCCTAAGGGAGGACTCTGCAGGAGGAGGACTATGCTGTGTGACCTGGGACAAGTTCCCTTCTCACTCTGGGCCTCCCTCCCATCCAGTGGCGAAGGCCTCCCAGATCTGGTGGCTGGTATTTCTGGTGAACTGGTGCTAGAGGAAAGCTTTAAGAAGTAGAGCTAGCTTCAAGGAGGCAGGGCTGCTGGCCAACCTCCCTGCAGGACATCTATTCTGAGCTCTCACCTCTTTCTTTGGTTCTTCCAAGCTAGCTGCAGCCCCAAGCCCTTCTCAGAAGCATCAGGAACCCTTCCTAGCCGTAGCTCCCCCAGGGGCCCTAGGCCAGCCAGGGCTTGGCTTATGGGGACAAGGCCAGTGACCCCTCCTGGTGACTTTCCTGATCATCCTTTTATAGCCTGGTGACCAGGATTCCTGGGCTTCTCTTCTGTAATATGGGACAGTCTCCTGCACAGCAGGGCTCTGGAAGGCCCAGGAGGTGGTGCCTGGGTGCTGATGCTTCTATCCCAGCCTGGCAGGGGGTGCCTTCCTCACCCAGCCACTCGGTGCAGACACGACGTTTAGTGGCACCGTCCAAAGCTTCATCTCCCTGACTAGGAGTGCAAGGGCACAGTAGGGTCCAGGGCAGGGCCAGCCTGGGCTCCCTGGGGTTCCTAGGGAGCCCCAGCCCCTGCAGACCAGAGCCCATGGTAGCATGTCTACCACCAGCTGAGCCTCCAGAAAGGTCCCCAGCTCTGGGGTCCGCTTCTTCCCTCTGTAACTTGGAACAAGGGTGAAGCTAGGAACAGAAGAAAAATAGATTCCAGTCTTCTCCAGACACCCCTTCTCAGCAGAGCCTGGGCTGGGTGCCCTATCCCAACCCAATGCCAAGATTGAGGCCCTTGTTAGGGGGGCCAGGGCTAGTGGCAGCACTGTCCAGCCCTCAGGGGCACCAGCAAAGCTGGGAACTGTGTGTACCACCCTTTTGGAACCCCAGAGCAGCCTGAGCCAGGGTCAGATGGGCTGGAAAGTTCCGCCTCCCCTCTCCCCGCTCCTCTGCACATCTCCCTCCCCTCCTCCTCCTCCCCTCCCTGGCCCTGTCCCCCGCTGTCCTAGCCTCACCTCGGCCTCCTCCCTCTCCTAATTCCACTGTCACTTCTCTCCTCTCCGTCCCTAGAAGTGAGAGTCCTGAGGCACAGGAAGAGTGAGTAGCTGCGTGCGCGGCTGCTAGCTGGTGTGTGGGGGGTGGGGGACAAGGCTGCTTAGGCAAAGCGAGTCCCAAGGGGCAAGGGACTTGAGGAAAGGGCAGGGCCAGGGGCAGGCAGCTAAGGGGTCCTCGATGCCACAGGTGGGGCCTCCTGCCCCACCACACCCATATGCACGCATTCTGCACCCAGCTAATGATGCTTGCTGGCACTTTCCCCTTTTTCCTCCTCCTCCAACCTGGGAACCCAGGAGCTTCTGGCCTGTTTTGTTTCTCTCACCCAGCCCTGACCCTCAGCCTCTAAAGACAACCCTCCCCAAACCCCAGTCACCTCCGCTGGCCTGGTCGAAAAATGCAAACTCTGCTCCTGGCATTTGCATGTTATCCACCTGACCCTTCTTCCGGGGTGTGCCCACCCCATATCCCCAGTAAGGACTCCACTTTCCTGGGTCCCCCAGAGCTGAGCAGTGCTGTGCCATAAGTGTGCTCCGAGCTTGCAACCAGTGTGTCTGAATGCTCGTCTGTCTGTGGGTTTGTGGTAGTGGGTGGGGTGGGGGCTGGCTGGGTTGTAGCATCCAGGGTCCCTAGTCCCTATAACACCAGGCAACTCAGTCCAAGGGTCACTGGGCTTTGCTGATGCAGAGAGAGAGCCAAAGGGAGACTCCACCCTAGCAGGCCTAGCCAGGGAACCTGGGACAAAGGTCGGGTGGCTGGTCCCAGGTAGTGTTTTGGAGCTGGGCAGTCAGCACGCTGGGCGGAGACTTTCACTACAGTCCCCAGGGCTGGCCCAAGAGCCATCATGAACTCCCAGGGGGCTCTGGGCCGGGGCTCCGCACCCCGTGAGTAGGGCCAGTAGGGCCGGGAGAATGGTGGGGCTGGGCCGCTGCGAGCGCAGGGCCTGCCTCTGGGGTCCCCCAGAGCCAAGCTGCCCACCGTCCCGGGGTCTGGATTGCTGTTGTCTGTGCCCACGGGAAGGCTGCCCAAGGGGAGGCTCCCAGCCTGTCCTGACTTGAGGAGCGGGCAGCAGAGTGGCGGGTGGGGGCGGCGGGGACGCGGCCCCACCCTCGGCTAGCGCCTCCTTTCCTGCCTCCGTGTAGGCACCAAGTCTTTCAACATGATGTCTCCGACGGGTGACAACTCAGAGCTACTGGCTGAGATTAAGGCGGGCAAGAGTCTGAAGCCGACGCCGCAGAGCAAAGGTCTGACCACGGTGTTCTCCGGAAGCGGGCAGCCGGCCACTCAGGTAGGCGGTCCGACAGGCGCCCCTCCCGGGCTCCCCGAGCCCCTGCCCGCCGCTCAGCCCCGTCGCTTCTCCCCGCAGCCTGACTCACCACTGCCGCCAGCGTCGCCCGCACCGTCACGAGCCCGGAGCCCCACTCCGCCGGCTGCGGGACCCCAGCCACTGCTCAACGGCAGCTTGGCGCCAGCGCCTCCTGCCACCCCTGCGCCGGGCGTGCAGCTCGACGTCGAGGCGCTCGTCCCTACGCACGACGAGCAGGGCCGGCCCATCCCCGAATGGAAGCGCCAGGTGATGGTTCGCAAGCTGCAGCTGAAGATGCAAGAGGAGGAGGAGCAGAGGCGGAAGGTGGGCGGGGTGGGGCTTCCCAGAGAGCCCTGGGGTCTGCACCTGCGCGCACAGCCCGTTCCTCCCCATCACCCCAACCTGCCCCGGGGGACTTCCAGCCGCAGGCAACTCCCGTTCCCTTTGAGGAAAAGCAGGGGTTGGACGACCGCCCTCTCCTGGGACCGGTCTCCTCCACCTCCTCCACCCCCAGCAGCCTGGGATTTCGTAAAAATGCCTATTCTGACTGGGGAGCCCTGATGGGGCTGAGAGTCTGCAACCAGCTCCCGGGTGAGGCTGACCATGCTGGCCCAGGAGCCACACTCCGAGTGGCCAAGAGGCTTTTGGTCACAGTCAGACTGGCCTGGGCTCTTTCCCGGCATCGCCACTTTCCAGCTGCTGATGCAGAGCCTCATGCAGCCTCAGTTTCCTATGTCAGGCAGGTTGATCACCACTGGTTGGCAGGATGATCTGCCATTGCTCCATTCTCAACAAACGTCCCCTGGGTGCTTGTCCATGTGTCACACACTGCTGTCGCCTCTGGGGATTCATGGAACATATCAGGGCCTGCTCTGGAGGGGTCTGCAGGAGAGGGTGCAGGGGGTCAACCAACAAGCAAACGCAGAACCTCAGTAGAGTGATAAGTGACCCCAGATAACTGGCCTAGTACAATAGGGGCAGCGCTGTGGTGGGCTGTGCGGAGGACTGGGGCAGCCCCAAGCCACCATCCTGTTTGGGCTGAGGAAGGTGTTAGGGAAGGAGAAAGTGAGGGCTAAGGTAGACTTGGAAGATGAGCAAGAGGTGGATGGGAAGAGGGGGGCAAATAGCAAGCAGGCGGGACGGGAGGAGGCTGAGCGTCAAAGAGGAGCTGAGGCTGGATGACTGGATTGTGGGAGCGGGTGGAGCTGGGGAAGTCAGTGGGGGTCAGATCAAGGCCTGGCCTTGAAAACCATGGACTTTCTCCTGGAGCAGTGCGGAGTCTGGGAAGGGGGTTAAGCTGGGAAGTGGCATCATCATATTTGTATGTGGAGATTGCGGTGGGTCGGGATAAATGGGGAGGCCTGTGAGGAGATGAGGGCAGCCCACCCCGGAAAAGCCTGGCATTAAAGTAGCAACCTAGAGGCAAAGAAAAGAGGAATAAATGAAACTGGAAGAAGAGCCTGACAAGCCTAGCTCTATAAACTGTGTTACTATTCCAAGGGTGAGCGGGGGTGGGATAGGAGTGGAAGCCACAGCTACGAAAACACTGACATTGTGGACAGAGAGGGCGTGGGTCACAGGGGACCTTGAAAAGGGGTCATCAGTTTGGAGCGAGGAGAGGCCTTGCTGGGATCTGGCCTCAAAGTCGCGGACCTTGAATGAGGTGGGAGAGGGCTGCTGATCGCGTCGCAGCTTCAATGCCTTTTGCATGTTCTTCGGTGGTGTAATGAGCAACCGAGCCAGGCGTGAAGCCCCCGTCTGCCCACCCTGCCTCTGCAACAGCACCCAACGACCGGCTGTGTCCCCGCCAGCAACCAAAGTGGACACTACCCAGCGCCGGGAGCGGCTGCCTGGGCCGAAGCCTCGCCCCAGCGTAATCGCCCGCCAGCCAGGCGTGGCCGGTCCCTGCAAACTCAGCCCCGCGGAGCCATTACACCACCTGGGACATGCAAAGGGCGCCCCCCGGCGGCCCCTGCGGGAGCCGGGCCAGAGGGAGACCCGCCTCCCTCCCCTCTCTTGTCTTCCCCGCCTTAGCTGATGGCCGCCAGCTCGTGCTGCTACCCCCGCGAGGGCTGGAGGTACTCCCGCGAGCACAACGGCATCCTCGGGCCCTTCGGCGAGCTCATGACCGAGGCTGACATACTCCGCATCGAGCAGCAAATCGAGAACCTGCAGGTGTTGCACAAGGCGCAGAAGCTGGAGGCGCGCCTGGAGCAGCTGGAGTTGGAGCTGGAGCAGCTGCTGCCCATCTCGGCAGCTCTGTCGGCGCCGCGCTTCACCGTCGACCCGCGCCGCATGCACGGCCGCGCCGCCAGCCTGCCTGCCTGGTGCAGCAAGATCTCCACGCTGCTCAAGAACATGGCCACGCTGCTGGCCGCACTGGGCGGCCGGCCCGCTCACCTGGCCGAGCTGCTGGCCGCCGACACGGGCCAACCACTGGCACCGTTGTCCGATGCACCCTGGAGGCCGGGCCCGCTGTGTCTGGGCCGCTCACACTCGCTCAGCTGGTGCCGCGAGGCCGTGGCGCGCGAGATCCTCGAGTGTGGCGTCTCGGTGAAGCAACTCCGCGCCACCTACGAACGACTCGCCCAGGGCTCCCCGCCCCCGCGCGGCCCGTGCCGAAAGCTCTCGCTGCCCGCCGGCGCCCCGGGCTGCGAGCCTATTCTCGAGGAGGACTACGTGGCGGCCGGCCCTAGCGAGCCGAGCGCCGCCGTCGCCAACGGACTGCAGCCGGCCACGGAGCCTCTAGGTACTCCGGGGCCGCCCGAGGAGCCAGGCCGGCAGGCGGCGCTGCCCGAGCCAGAGCAGCTGGCACGCGGGCCGCCGCTCCCCACCGAGCTGCGCGGCGTCCAGGACTACATCGACATGCGCAAGGAGCGCATCGTCTACCTCTTCCTGGAGCACTGGCGCAAGTGGGCCTTCCGCAGCCCCGGGCGCCAGGCCCGGGCGCGCCTGCGCAGACTGCTGCCCCGCGTGGTGGCCGCCGGCGCCGGCCCCGCCCCCGAGGCTCTCGAGGCCGCGGACGATCCCCAGTTTGCTCCCCCGTCGCCGGCGGGGGAAGGCCATGAGGAGCGGCTGCTGCGCCTGCTGAAGCAGCGGCAGGTGGTGGGCAAGTTGCTGGGCCACTGGCGGAGCTTGCTGCGACAGGTGCCCGCGCGCCAGCCCAGCGGCCCAGGCCTATCGCACGGCCTCTACTGGCCTGAGCACTTCCTGCCGCCCCTGGATGGTGGCGCGCCCCCGCCCTACGACAGCCTCACGCTTGACCTCTTCATGCTCGGCTACTTCCAGCTGCTCGAGATGGGCCTGAGCCGCGAGGAGCGCAAGTTCCGCCACCTGCTGTGCTATGAGATGTTCGACCGGCTGGGCAGCCACCCATGGGAGCACATCCGCCTCTTCCACCGCGTGGTGCTTGAGGAGGTGGAGGCCGGCCGGCGTGGCTGGAACGACGGCTTTGAGGACCTCAGGCACCAGTTCTTTGGAGATGGCCCGGAAGCTAGGCCGGCTTTGGAGGAAGATGCTGAGAAGGAGCAAAAGAAAGAGCAAAAGGAG